AAACCATGTTAGCCAAATTAGTCTTTGTAAAAATCACCGATAATCCTTTTCCAAGTGGAACCCAAGTAACTATATATATTTGTGAACATATGCCAACCAGGTTTATATTTGACTGTAAATGGATCGTTGTTGCTTATAAATGCTTGAAATGTTTCTTAATGCTTAGAGTTGGACCATCATGTTAATAGCTGAGTATTGGAAAATGGTTAGGTTATAAAAAGCTATTTCATTTTGTTTATGGTTAGGTTATATAATAGTTTCTTTGATGCTGTTATGTCTGGCTGGGTTGCAGATTGGTGCATTGGAGGATAGGCGAAAACAGGCGTTGGCAACAGGTGTTACAAAAACCATTGCACCAATAGGTGCTACAATACCGTTTCTTGTTCTATAATTTTTTGTTGTTGTCTTATATGGTCAGAAGTTAACATTGTTTCATGCATTTAGTTTATCTTTCTGAATGACATTTTATATTTGGTCTTTAAACATCTCCATCTTCGAAGTACCTTTATACACTTTGCAGGCTTGAAAGTGTAGATTTACTTGTGTTTGTACCTTAAGTTTTATTCCCTTTTCCGACAATGGGCACCTATATTTTGGCAATTTACATTTCTTTTTTGATTGACTGGATGTTTCCCTTGCAATGCAGTTGCAGATGGTGAAATCCAAGGGAAGTACACTAATAAGGAGGCAAGTAGCTATTCAATGTCGACTAAGGAGGTGGAAAGTAGCTACTTAGCGTTGACTAAGGAAGAGGCAAGTAGCTACTCAGCATCGACTAATGAGGAAAGTAGCTACTCAGCATCTAGTTCCCAATTACTTGATGAGCTGTTGACAGCAATCATAGATTTACAATCTGGTAAATTCTTTTTGTGCTAGCTAAATTTCTGGGTTCTGTCATCTGTAGTTTTCTTGCTTATCATTATCATTGTTTTCCTCTGTTGCAGTAATTCGTGGATGTTTGGTCCGGAAACATCTCAGTAACTTGCATGCTTTGAGACGGTTGAGATCTAGACGAACGAAGTCTAGAAAATTTTCTGAAATAAAGGTATCTCTTCTCTTAACACGATGACATTACTTGGGTAAAAAAACATGATAGCATTACATAGTCTTAGTTGCATGCCTCCAAGCATGTTTTACTTCAACAATTTGTTTATGGTTTCTGTTGAGAAACCCCTAAAGGACATAAAATACGATCCTCTTTTTGGGGCTGACCAGGACATACCAAATGAGCAGCCTTCTGCAATGGCAGAGCTTCAAAGAAGGATTCTCGACGTGGAAGCAACTCTGGGGCAAAAAGAACAGGAAAATGCCACATTACGGGAACAATTACAACAGTACGAGGAAAAAATGCAGAAGGAACAGGAAAATGCCATAGGGGAACAACTACAACTTTACGCGGAAAATATGCAAAAAGAAGAGGAAAATGACACACTACGGGAACAATTACGACAGTACGAGGCAAAGATGCAAAAAGAACTGGAAAATGCCATATGGGAACCATTACAACAGTACGAGGAAAAAATGCAGAAGGAACAGGAAAATGCAATACCAAATGAGCAGCCTTCAGCAATGTCAGAGCTTCAAAGAAGGATTCTCGACATGGAAGCAACTTTGGGGCAAAAACAACAGGAAAATGCCACATTATGGGAACAATTACGACAATATGAGGAAAAAATGAAAAAGGAACAGGAAAATGCTATAGGGGAACAATTACAATTGTACGCGGAAAATATGCGAAAAGAAGAGGAAAATGACACATTACGGGAACAATTACAACAGTACGAGGCAAAGATGCAAAAAGAACTGGAAAATGCCATACAGGAACAATTACAACAGTATGAAGAAAAAATGCAGAAGGAACAGGAAAAAGCACGGGAACAATCACAACTGTACGAGGCAAATATGCAAAAAGAACAGGAAAATCGCACATTACGGGAACAGTTAAAACAGCACGAGGCAAAAATGCAAAAAGAATTGGAAAATGCCATACGGGAACAATTACAACAGTATGAAGCACATATGCAAAAAGAACAGGAAAATGATACATTACGGGAACAATTAAAACAGTACGAGGCAAAGATGAAAAAAATGGAGGAGACATTGCAGGAGCAAACTGCATCCCTGCAAGTGAGTTTTTGAGCTTGTAGATAAATATCACTAATTATAAGCTGTTTTAATTAAGGTGGTTGTTTTTTTACCTCAACATAAATGGTCCTAAGAACGTCTCAGTGATTACAAAAGTAATGCAATCCTGATGATTACAGCTAATCATGTTAACTATTTCGTTAATAATTGGTGAATGTAATTGTAAATTTGGCAGAGAGTTCACAGCGCATATATGCCGTTTTGAGAATTTCATGTTTAGTGTAAATCCAAACATATATATGTATCTATTAGTTGAATTCAATTGCATTTTTTTGCAGGCAAGTCTTGCTGCAGCCGAGAAGAGTGGCAGTCCTGATGGCCAGCTAAGGAGAGGCGATATTGATTCCAAAGATAATGTGTCCATGCATTCTCGAACTCCTGGTAGAAATAAATCCGATGTCGGGGACAGAGAAAATGGTGTGAGCAATCTGGTAAAGGAATTTGAGCAGCAGAAACAAACTTTTGAAGATGATGTGAACAAAACAGAATCTAATGTGAATCCTTACGAAGAACTACGGAAATTAAAGCACAGGTTCAGGGCATGGAGGAAAGATTTCAAGACGAGATTAAAGGAAATGAAGGCAAAACTCCAAAAGAGAAGGTATAAAGAATCAGAGAAGACGCGAAAAAAGTGGTGGCCGGCGAGTAAAGTGTTACAGATACAGACCTGCACTAAACCACCATCACCGTAGACGGTCCAAGCATGCTGGTTTCTTCTTTGGATAGTTCGGTTTAGGTTGTGTATAGTATTCTGTTGTTAACTGATGTAAGATCCAACTTTGTAGTTCCTTGTATACAGATGAAATGAAAAATGTTCATATGCCCTCTCCCTGGAATTTCAATTTTACCTTGTGCACTCCATCTTTATCTTGCTCTTGACAGGCAGTTAACTGTTTAAGGATTAGGAATCTCATAGTATGAACGCGTTTATATATATTGTAGTATCCACTTACTATTTACATAAAATTATAGCTATACAAAATATTAATTTCAATCATCCATTTAGATTCACCTACTGTTTATATTTTTGTTTACATAAGGTAAGTTAATCTTTTATATATATATATATATGAATGATATCGTGAATTATCAGCTTTAAGTCAATTTTTCTCAAGGCATGAAAATCGTATATTGTATAGATATGGGTACGTCAACTATTTGGTACGAGCATGTTTAATGTATTTTGGTATATTTGAGTGATCTCAATAGTAAGAATTTTGTTTTTTTTTCTAGAGGTCACATGTTAACTCTGATTGAAGGGCATTTGCTTTATCAATATTTAAGAAATTTTTTGAACATGTTATCTTGTAATTATCTCAAATTATTTAAAAAAATTATATATTTTAACAAATTATTTGTAAATTTTAAAAATATCATGTCATTATTTCAAATTTTTTAGATAAAAATTATTTTAAATTATACGTATTTATTAAAAATCATCTTAAACACATACAAGTACCATAACTTATTTCTTTATAAAAAATATTTTTAAATTTTATTATAATCTAAATTGATGTATTAAATAATTTAAATATCATTTTATAATTTCTTTAACAATAATGTTAAATACTTAATTTAGATGATAAGGAGATATATATATATATATCTATAAATATTTTCAATTTAGTGATAGCCAAAATTTTGTTATTCATAATAAAAAAATAACCCTCATGTACCGTTAGCGAACTTCTCTAACATTTTTAAAATCTCTAACGGTCGAATTGTTAGAGATGACTGACGCGATGTCACATAACCAAACATTATCATTAAATTAATCAAACCTTAATTCCTCACGATCGAATCGTCGCCTTCCAATCTTTTCAACTCTCAATCCAGCGGCTAGAAATCAACCCTCAGTTTCTTCAAATCCTCGTACGGTGATTCCAGAAAACGACAACGTTTCTTGATTCTCAGTCTATCTCTTTCCACTCCTCTGCTATAACAGAGAAGAAGGCAAAGAGCCAAAAACCCCTAAAAATGAAATGGAAAATTTAGAGCCTTTAAATCACCTTTGTTTGATAATTATTTGATTCCGAATAAAAAACCTTTTTTTTTTCAAAGGAGATTCAAGTACAGAGGGGAAAAAAGAAAATGGCCTTCAAGAATCAAAAGGATCACTGGGCATTTCTGGTAATAGATTAACACCCTTCTACTTTAAATTTCGTTTTCTTGATGCCATTTTTCCTTTTCATTTCTGGGTTTTTATTTGATTTGTTCACGTCTATTCTTTTATTTTTAATTTCTAAGTTTCTTCCCTTGTGGTTTTAAGTTAGTTACAATCCTGATGAACAATTTTTTTTGGGGGTTTCTTTGGATTGGTGAAACGATATAACTTTGATTAACGGAAAAGGGTATGTTTGTTTGTTGGGAAAACGTTGGGACGTCAAAGCAGAAGGTTTTATATCTTAAAAAAAATGATAGATTTTGATCATTTTTTCATCTCAAATATACGAAAACGTATTATGTTCCTTTCTAATTTTGTTGGGATGGAAATAATATCTGGTCTCGCAACTCTTTTCATGGTTTCTTGGTATGAATACTCTTTTGATTTTTTTTCATTGCTTTTTTTTATTGAAATATGTAGGAAGAAATTGAAGCGCCAATGTGGGTGGACCTTGCTTCAGAAATAAAGCTAAATAGCCAAGACATGTGAGTTTCAGCCAACTTTTTATGATTTTTCCGAGTAGTTTGATGGCACTTTAACAACCATAAAGTCCGATTTGTTAGTTTATTTGTTATGATTTTGCAGTGATGACGAATGGTTTCAAACAAGTCATTTGTAAGCATCTGTTCATTACCCAATTACTGTTTGATTGCTATGGAATTAGATTTAATTACATTAGGTCAATGTGAGTTTTCAGGTTCCACCAAAGCTCTTCTAGCCAGTTGAAATTGGCACTTTTGTGTTCCGATGAGAACGGGGTAAACTTAGAGTTGGACTTGGCAGGCGCATCATCACCAATGCTTCCGCAGTCAGTTTCGAGATCAAGAGGCAAGGACTTCAGGAGCAAGAAGTGGAAGGGGGACTCTCATGATGTTTCATTGAATAAGATTGTGTCGATGAAGATTGTGAAGGGGGAGTCTTCAAGGTCTGGTGAGGGAATTAAACCTAAGCTAAGCTTTATAAATTCGAAAGGGACAGCTAGCTCGAAAACAAGTTCGGTCTCCCTAATAACTGAGAGTGGCAGAGGAAAAAATGACAAATCTGTGACTACCCGAGGAGGTCTGGAAAGAAGTTCGAGTCCTGTGGCAGATAAATCAGGAGGAACTAATACTAGAAGCACATTTACCTCCGAGAGCATTCAACCACTGCAGCAGCAGCAGTTCTTTGAGGTATCAAGTCGAGGTTTCGGTCAAACAAGTGAGCTGTTAACCTCTGTGAGGATTAGTCTAAGGAAAAGTTGTATTACAAGACCAGCATCAAGGGTGGAGGTTAATGCTGCTGATAGGAGTCAAAGGATAGAATCAAGAGACAGTAAATCTTCCTCCGGCAAGTCTAGCGTGGGATCTTCATATTCTGGTTATGAAGCTAAAAGGTCAACCGTTTCATGGATAAAGAGGAAAGAACAAACCCCAGATAGCAGAAATGCAGCACGAATGACTGAAGCTTCCAAAAACAAAGTGAAACCTTCTAATATGCACAATAAATCGAACCTTAGAGGTAAGGAAGGAAGCCGTGATTCTAGGACAGGCGGACTAGTAACCGTTACAAAGCAAACTTGGGAGGAAGCCATAAACTCAAAGGTATGTAGCACTTGGTACCTTCAGAAACTTGTGTGCTTGTGCATGTACATTTGTATGTATTATGCTTTTTGTGCAATATACACAGTTTTGAACTTAGATGCTTAATACAGCAGGAACACGTAGAATTTACATAATATATAAGCTTTATTTGGATTGATTTTCTTTATCTGATGTAGAATTTTTCTCAACTGGTTTATGTATGTCTAGAAGTTACTTTAAGATGAAAAAAAACCATATTCCATACACTGTATCATGTTGAAGAACCCATTGGTGTAACCTTTTGCAGGCTAGTTCTCAGACTCACCGTCCCAAACTGTCATTACTCAACAAAATCAATGAACAAAAGTCACTCGCTGGTTCTACAAAAGCTAGAGAGAAGTTGCAAGTCGGCAACAAAGTGGTGGGTTTTGGGAAAGAAAATAATACAGGTGAAATTCATCTGAGCCAGAAATGCAATGGAAAAGGTAAGGCTGCTGAAGGCATGGCTGCGAGTAGAAAAGGGCCAAACCAGAGTACATCTGCAAAGGGTGGAAAAACCGAGACGGTTGCTCCCAAGGTAATTCATCTTGGCTTATGATTTTAGCCTTTGTAGCCATGCTAAACAAATGATCTCATAAAAGAGGTCTTACATGCCTGCCTGATATATTGAAACTTATTGAGTGAGGCCTCCACTTAGTGTTGGGTTATCAATTTGACAAATTTCATTATCCTTAGGTTGCATATCTTGAAACTTAATACACCCTTTGATTGTCCTCTTACATTTTCTCTATAAATTCCCCATATACATGGACTTTAGGATTGTCATCTCATCAACTATCTGATTTTATGTGTATGATCTATGTTCCAACAGGGAAGAGTTGGTAATCAAAGGAGAGGGGAAAACTCCACTGGTTCAATTCCGAAGGTCCATTTTCGATAAGGGAACAAGCCTCTGTATATAATGTCGTCTCTTACTTCTTGTAACCATAGGAGCATATACCACTTTTGTACCACATTTTGGTGGTAAATTTTGGTTCTCATGGCTTGTGTGAATGTACATTTTCACTTTCTCTTGTATGCAGCTCCTAAGGAATTCAAGAATCGTTTCCGAATCTTTCTTTCACTGTATGGTTTTTCAAACAGAATTATGTTTTTTTTAACTCGAATTTATTCAGAAGATTTTGGAGGATAATATTTATTTATGAATATATTTTAGACACATATTTTCTTTGGACAAATTTTAGACACGAATATTAAATATGAATACTTCGAGAAAAATGGAGTAAGAACAACATAATATAAAAATTAGTACAAGGAGTGTAGAAATGTAACTTAATTCTAAGCTTCGATAGTCTCTAAATCAGGAAACTGTTTTGTCTAAATTTTCTTAATCAATTGATAATGCATATATACTATATAGATGTAATGACTCGATATTTTAAACTTAGATTCTCTAGAAAGAACTTTCCTCTTATCACTAAAGTCACTCGATGATTTTTTTTTAATTTTTTTGGATTTAATCATCGGTATCCGATCTATTAATTAACTATCTTTACCTTTTATACAATTTTTATATAATCATCAAATTATTTTTTTAATATAGTTAATAATTTTAGTTTTATTTAATAATTATATATAAATATGTATATTATCAATTATGTTAAAAAGTTAAAATTATGCTTCGTTTGTATAAATTTTTTTAAAATAATAATAAATTTAATATGTATAAAAATAAATTTAATATTTTTAAAATAAATTTAAAAATTAATTTTATCGAAACTTGAATTAAGATTTTAAATTATATTTATTTTTTATATAATCAAATTATAATTTAATTTTTTAAACATAATTAATAATAATATATATATATATATAACTTATATATAATTATTAAATAAAATTTAATTATATTAAAAATAATTTAATGATTATATATAAAACAAATTATATAAAAATGAAGGTAGTTTGAAAATATAAAAAGTTAAATTTTACTTTTTTTTAATAGAAAAACTCAATATAAGTTTGAATCCATTTAAAATCATGTTAGTTTCTTTTTTTTTCTCTATCATTGGTTAGAACATATTATATATAAAATGTGGGAATACAATACCAATTGAGGGACTCAGTCCATCGGTTTTGAAATGCCCCTAAAAGGGTTGTGGGGTGTTGGATTGATTTCCCAAGAGCAAATTGAAAATTTTCCATTTTATCCAATCAGATGGTGTCAACATTTTGTATCCAATCAGTTGAAAATAAAATAAATTAAATAATTAAAATTAATAAAATAACCCCCAATCTAGTAGTGACACATGTTAGCACCTAATTGGAGATTAAATTTATCAAATTGAATTAAAATTATGACCAAATTGAAAGAATGTATAAATATCAAGAACCAAATGTGTAATTATACTAGTTTTATTAATCAACACGTCATCACTTCCGTTAAATGTTAGTTGCTAGTGGTCTGATTGAATGTATTTAAATAGTTAGGTGGTTTAATTGATAAGAATTCAAAAATGGTAGTCGAAATGAAAAGAGACTATAGTTGGGTGGTCTTTGGTATAGTTTACCCTAAAATAAAAAACAACTATTAGCTTCGTTAATATATGGATATATTTTTTTCCATATATGAAAATCAACAAGTTATATTACAATTATTAATATTATCTTTATTTTTATTAAATTAATAATATGTTATATTAATAAAAAAAATTAATATTTAATTTTACTCGTAAATTATTTCTAAAAATCATTTAAGTTCTTTAACAAATTTGTTCTTAGAATTTACATTTATCTCTCAAACTTCTTTTGTTCTACGACACTTACTTAAATAATATTTACTCATGACCTTCAAATATGAATTTTAAATTATAATTGAGCTGATGTGATAGGACTATGGGAGACATGACATCAAACTCTGCTATTAGGATGTCCTTGGGGGTGGCGCCTGTATCCGAAAAATTGAGGGAGGGAAGATTACGGTGATTTAGGCATGTCCTTCGACGACAATCGTCGGATGCGGTCAGGAGGGTAGAGTCGATTATAGTCGACGGTGCCAGAAGGAGAGGTCGACCAAGGCGGAAGTAGGAAGACTGCTTGAGATCTGATTTGAAGGATTTAGCCCTTACCGAGGACATGACCTCTGATAGGAAAGTATGAAGACTTAAGACCATGATAGACGAGTAGTGCGAGCCACATCCATAGGGTGTATCATCTCTGTCTTCTTTTAAAACCGTTGTAGTAATTTTCATAACTTCTACTTTTTATACGTTTCATTCGATGGAATTTATGAAGGCTTAGAACTAGGGTAGCGAAGTAGTGTTACCTTAGTTTAGGTTTTAACCCATTTGACTTCATTCCTTCACGTAGCCTGCTATCGTTGATTTTTGTGTATCATTCTCTTAATGTTTCCTGTTTTTAATTTTAGTCGGGTCTTACATTACTTTCTATATGCACAAAATTTTACACAGGGATTCATTTGCAGGGACTTACTTCCAATTACAGATGCACATATGAAAACTGCATATGAAGACTGTTCAACTATGTATTTATTTATACATGCATTGCATTTTATCTTTATTTAAAAAAATTGACTATCGGAGATCTTCCACGGAAGCTGCTCTCAACTTGGCGTTGGGGGCAGCCTACTACACTACCTCCCCCTTGTCCCATAGCATATGGGAATAGGGTTTTGTTGTTGTCTAACTATCATTGTTCCTATAACGAATCGTTTTTTATATTCATACATATGCGTACACTCGATTTAGCACCAAAAAATAATTATATTCGAAATCGATTAGATTTAGACTAATATCCAAAATACACAAACATTATATCTTCTGCACTTCCTTAACACTTCCAAATATGTTACATATTAAAATAAGTCCATAAAATATTGTTATACATCACAAGTAGGAATACTTATCACTATACTATAATGACTTGATGTGTAAGGGGATTGAACCCAGGTAACCCACATGACAGGTGAGAATATTTACCACTATACTACATTGATTTGATTTGATGTACAAGAGATTGTACTCGTGTTATTGCAATCTAAGATAAGCCACTTTTGGTTGCTCAAAGTTGTTTTGAATGCAGATCAATCTCTCCGGTGATTCCAGCATCATCATCATTTCAAGGTTCGAAATATGCTGTGGATCTTTTTCATCAGATACTCGTCAATCTTATAACCAAAGGAGCTGAACTCTTGTTTATCAAAATATGGTCTGTAATCTACTATTAGTATCATCTTCCTTTTGTGTTGTAAAGCATAGCCAAGACGAAGATAACAAAATGTATGGTTACAATTTAGTATAGGTTTTTCTCATTCTACTTCCATGTCGTCCTTGCATAAGTCTATATTATCAATGTCGTCCTTCTACTTTCTAGTACACAAAATTCTTACAATCATCGAGATTCATACTGGAATTTGAGCCACGACTGTCTCGAATCCGACAACTTCACATTCTAATACATCAAAAATCAATTGCTCCATCAGTTCAATGCTATTCTTCTTACACAACCGTTGAGACCAGTTTCCAGTGTCCTTTCAGACCTGCATTTCACACTGTCGCTTGCATTGCAGCTGTCATATGCACCACATAGTCCGCAATTGTCACAAGGGTCCATTTGAACCTTCACAAAAATTTGCCAACTTTGGGTCGATCAATCCACGTTAGCTTCTCCGAAAGCCCGTCATGGCTCAACACCACCTTCAACCGAGCTATTATGAAGCACATATGTGTCGTATACTTCCTTATCATTGATCACTGTTGGGGAAACCGGGTTATTTCCCGTTATTTCCCACACGAACGTAGTTTCAAAAATGACCTAAAATATCAAGATCAAAACAACCAAAGGTTGCACAGTGGATAAACCCGTCAAACTATTGAATATTGAAACACGATAGAAAAACCGAATAAAAACAGTAAAGGAGAGAACACACCAAATTTACGAGGTTCGACGAGAATATCGTCTACTCATCGGGCACCACACCGGATGATAACTTCACTATCAACAAATATTACAACAAATGGAATTCTTTAGAATTCCCAAAGTGAGAGAATAAAGAAAACAAATGGAATAGAGAACTTGTTTTAGGATGATTTCTAATGAAATACTTAGGCCTATTTTATAGTTGAGTTTTAAGGACTAAACTTATAAATAACCTAATATTTTAGGGACCAAATATGAAATTCCCATGTGCAAAAGTTTGGCCACCTACCAAAGAATTTTCCAATATGTACAAGTTAGCCACCAACCAACTTGTCAACTTTGTCAACTTACCAAATTTGACAATTTGCAAGCCAAACATAACATTTGTCAAATTTGACAATTTGCAAGCCAAATCTAACAAATCTCCACCTTGACTTGAAATTACCAAGCCTACTCAACTTCTTCAACTTCCCAAATTTGTAGTGCCTCTAATTGCGCTCACAAGCGCCATATACCCGAAGGTGCTCAAACTTTCAGGATGTTAATCAAGTTCAAATAGTGATTGAACTTGATTACTGTTACTACCTTGGTCATCATATCTGCAGGATTTTCTGCTGTCGCAATTTTCTGAAGCAGAATCTTTTATTCTTCAAAGATCTCCCGCACAAAGTGATACCTTACGTCGATATGCTTAGTCCTTGAATGGTAGACTTGATTTTTCGCTAAGTAAATAGCGCTCTGACTGTCACAGTATAGACTAATGTGACTTTGAACAACTCTCAAGTCTTCCATCAACCCGTTAAGCCAAATTTCTTCCTTTACAGCCTCTGAAACTGTCATGTATTCTGCCTCTGTAGTAGACAAAGCCACCGTATATTGCAAAGTAGACTTTCAACTTACTGGGGTTTTAGCAAGAGTAAACAAATAACCAATAGTTGATCGACGCTTATCCAAATCACCAGCATATTCGAAATCAACATATCCAACCACACACTGACCATGTGTTTCATCATGTTCAAAAACTAAACCAACATCCACAGTTTGTTGGAGATACCGAAGAATCCATTTCACAGCTTGCCAATGTCTTTCTCCAGGATCATGTATGTACCTTCTCACAACTTCAACTGCTTGTGAAAT